GGGGGGGGGGGGCCACGGAGGAGTCATTACAGTCTTTGTTCACTAAAGATCCAGAGCTATCGAAACGTCTCTTAAAGTTACAAATATTCTGGAAAAGCCATAATCTTAAAATGGAACTTTTAAGAAGCTCCTAAAGCCTGCAACAAAGGATAAAAAATGAATATCAAACTTTTAAAATTTTACGACGTAAGGAAATGAGTTTTTGCCGCAAACTCAGATGTTCTATCCCTTATATCTTTAGAACCTATCCTTGAAATACCAAAGACTTACACCATCAGGTTGCACAGATATTAAGATTAGAAAACTTGAGTTTTTACAATTATATACTACCTTTTTGCTGGATTTTCAAAAAATTATGTGGGTCTGAATAAAAATTTGGTTCGGCATGACAAGAATATTTTTTTAGAAAAAGATTCACAGAGGGGGGGGGGCCCTAATTTCACAGGAAAAAGGTAGAAAATTAGATTTGATTTTATTTTTCTTAAATCACAATTTACCTGTAACATCTGGGCTCCCAGATCCTTGCAGGTCTTGGCGTATTTTTAAGTTAAAAAATACTTTGTTGATTTTCGTGGAAAAATCTCCACTGAAAAAGAGAGTTTACGATTTCTTTTAATTAGGTTTTGTTTTTCTCATATAAACTTGCTACTATTTTAACATTTCTGGCAGAAAAGACAAAAAAAGAATAAAATACATATTTGGAACCTGTAGTCTAATCCTCATTTTCGTATTTTATCTTATTATATTATATTATCTTTTTCTATTCATTTGGCATATTGTTATCCGGACATGGAGATATTTCCTTCCTTCTCACTTTTTATAAAAGAACTATTTCTTGCAAGAATTATTCTCTCTGACAAAATAAGAGTAATAGCTTAAATATTTACTGTGACACTTAAGGACAAGACTTTAGAAGATAATTGGAGGGTCATTAGTTCTAACAAGGTCCTTTAGGTTCTACACGAATAACTTTCATAATTTTTGATAATTAGATATTTAATTTTAAACTTTTTATATCTATATTGTTATTTTTCTCTATTCTTAAAATAACAAAAAAAAAGAGAAAAAAAAACCCCGAAACTACGGAATAAATAAATAGATCTTATTAATCTTTTGTTCTAATATGCAGATTATATCTGAGTCCGAATTTAATGAATTTGATCCGCGTCTCAAATCCGCCAAACACCGGTTTCAAATGAGCGCCGGCTTAAATGTTGAAACATTGAATACAATTTTAAGTGTAACCAACTGTATTTGAGCCGAATCTCAAATTTAAGCCGTGGTGCATATAATTCTTTAAATCGGCCTCTGGACATTTATATTTTAACCCTAAAAAATAGAGGGTTTAGAATTTTATGTGCTCTACTTTCCTTCATTGTCTAAAACATGATTCTGCTCTACATTAGAACCCACTTTCAAATATACAAAATATTTTACTCTTGCCAGCCCAAAAATTTTCTTTCTGAACTTTTTTACAATTCTCCACAATTGCAGCAGCCCTCTTTTCTTAAAAACTCTTAGTCACTTTAGTACAGAGGAAAGAAATTTGTTGGTTTTCTAGGGCTTAAATCAGGCCAGAGCTGGGAACTTTTGAATGGTGGATATCATGATTAATGCTTAATCGACTCTTTTTTTAATTTCGAGATTAAATTACGCTTTTTCTCCTGTTGTTATTAATCTCCAGATTAATTAAGCAGTCAGGATTAAGGATATCTCATTCTAAAGTTTTCAGCTCAGGTCTATTTAGAAAAAAAGTGTCCAAAATGCTTTGCTACAGATATCAAAACGATCTAATAATGAACTGATCCAATTTTACCGGAGTTTAGATGATTTCTAGGCCGATTTTGATGCTTTTACTTTGTTACATTTTCTAAAAATAATGTTCTATTTTAATTACTTTAATTTTTTCCTGTTCCAGGAATAGATAGCGTAGAGGTCCTTTACTAGCAGGGTCATGTTCAAATATACTTTATCCGGTCTGAAACAAAATAATTGTACTCTTGTGCATTCACATCATTTCAAACTTGAAAAATAAACTTTCTAAAATATAAAATTTCGGTTCTATTTAAATCTTTGTAAGATTCACTGAAATCTTTAAAAATTTGATTTTCCTCTTTAATCTTAAATTAATTGTTAAATTTTTTATCTATATCAGCAAATAACCCAAAAAAATAATTGATTCGAAATTAAAAATAATCTTTGTTTGTCGGTTTTTGCTTGAATGCCCTATCATAGCTCATAAACTCTATTGACCGATTTGCCGCAAATTTTGATTGGGGAACTCGTTAGAACCACGGGAATGTCTGGTCTAGTTTTAAAATTCTAAATTTAGTCTCGTTAATATTTTATTGGAAGAAATTTGTTTTCGTGTAAAGCCGGATTCCCAGGCTAGTGTTATTTATGTATGTAAAACATTAATATAAAACATTTCTACAAACAAAATTATCAATAATTTACTGAATCCATTTTGCAGAATTTTAGTTTTTATGTTTTTTCTTTTTTCTTAATTGTCAAAGTTGTCTGAAACAATTTGAAGTAATTTAAACAAACACAGAACTGCTTGGGCTGTGTTTTGCTGATTTTCCTCCCAGCAACTGTAGTATCTACACTCTACAGTTATGGTGAACTAGCTTGATAACCCAGCTTTGCCTGAAAAACTTTCTATAAAAGTGAACCGTAATCAAACATAAGAACTTTCCCAAATCACAGTTTGAGGTAAATTAGTTCATGAACTGTGATTGGACATACAAGAAGATAGACATAAATTACTACTTTATATGTATACTAGCTTGAGAACCCAGCACTGCCCAGGTTACTAAAAGTTACTCCCGCCGTTTACCCGCACTTGAACGATTTTTAAGGGAAACTAAATTTTCTCCATTCAAGGTGTCCGTGAGTCTCCCGAGTTCTCTATCAAAATTTGATGCAAATCGGTTCAGGGGTTCCTGAGTTATGATCGGACAAATAAATATTCAGACAGAGATTACAACTTTATATAGAAATATACTAGCTAAGAAACCCAGCTTTTCCTGGAAACGAAACTTTCGCTGTAAAAGTTAACCCACTCAACTTAATTTTTCAAATCAACCAAGAACTTTTCCGTGGTTCTATACACCAAATTTTAAAGCAAATTAATCCAGGGGTTCATGTGTTGTGATCAAACATACAAACAGACAAACAGAAATTACTACTTTTATGTTCTCTTTTTCTAACTGAAAAGCCAAGAATTATGGATTTGAATTTCTAGTGGAATAGGATAACTCAAACTTGTGCTTAAATTCAAAACTAGAGGATCTACGAGGTCTCAAAGTTGTACCAGCGATGTCGAATATACTGTAACTTCTCCTTCTGTCTATTATGCAGTTCAAGGGAGTTCCTGGCACTGCAAACTAGACTGCAAAAGAAAAAGTCAAATTGATGCGAGATTACTTATGCGGCTTTGTGACCCCGTAACTCCTCTAGTTTGCATTTAACATATTCGAAATTAAAAGTATTTTCGATAGCTGGCGTATCTTCCAGATTGGAGTATTCACCTTTCATCTAAAGATGCTTCTCCCCATCTAGTAATATTCGTGAGTCCGGATAGAGTTCCCTTGCACAGTGATACACCATTAGAACTAAAGTCAGGCAGAGCCATCTGATGCAGTTCTCTGAAATAGTAATAATAATAATAATAATAAAAATGATAATAATAATAATAATGATAACAATAATAATAATAATATTGAGAAAAGAAAGCTGAACGTATTAAATATACATTGTTCTCCAGAAGTTGAACTGAAAGTTAAAAGTATTGTATTTTGTACTGTCAAAGAGAAACCGTTTACAACAACAAAACATTTATTTTTGTTTCACTATCTCTTGAATATTTGTTTTTAAGCTCGAAAAGACAACTTTTCAACAAAAATAAATGTTATTTTTAAATAAAACTGTTTGCTTTGTATTTTAAAATAGAAATGAATTAATAGAACGGAGAGGATAAATGGATCTGGTTACGGTAAATAGATAGAGTTTAGGTGAATGGATATGGTTCAGGTGAATGGATAGGTTTCAGGTGAATTGATAGGGTTCAGGTGAATGGATAGGGTTCAGGTGAATGGATAGGGTTCAGATAAATGGATAGGGTTCAGGTGAATGGATAGGGTTCAGATGAATGGATAGGTTTACGGTAAATGGATAGTGTTCAGGTGAATGGATAAGGTTCAGGTGAATGGATAGGGTTCAGGTGAATGGAGAGTTAGGATGGATGGATAGGGTTCAGGTTAATAAATAGGGTTCAGGTGAATGAAGAGTTAGGATGGATGGCTAGGGTTCAGGTTAATAAATAGGGTTTAGGTGAATGGATAGGGTTCAGGTGAATGGAAAGTTAGGATGGATGTCTAGGGTTCAGGTTAATAAATGGGGTTCAGGTGAATGGATAGGGTTCAGGTAAAAGGATAGGTTTACGGTAAATGGATAGGGTTCAGGTGAATGGATAGGGTTCAGGTAAATAGATAGAGTTTAGGTGAATGGATAGAGTTCAGGTGAATGGATAGGGTTCAGGTGAATGGATTGGGTTCAGGTGAATGGATAGGGTTCAGGTGAATGGATAGGGTTCAGGTGAATGGAGAGTTAGGATGGATGGCTAGGGTTCAGGTTTATAAATAGGGTTCAGGTGAATGGATAGGGTTCAGGTGAATGAATAGGGTTCAGGTAAATGAATAGGTTTACGGTAAATGGATAGGGTTCAGGTGAATGGATAGGGTTCAGGCAGGGAGCAAGGAATAGAAGGGAGAGACAACTGACGCGGTTCGCCCTACCATATGATTATACATGCTTTGCAGACGGTACTCCATTTTATATCGAGCTGTTTGGTTTCTTTAGTAGGGCCCCACAGGAAAAATATGTATTGGCTCAATTTTCTTT